TAGAATTTTTTTTGTCTCATTTGCTTCCATATAACGACTAAACACAATTTATTTTTATATGGCAGAAACCCGCAACATCCTCGGCGAAAAAAATTCTAAAAAATTAAAAGTAATTTTTAGCCACTTGAAACTTGCATATTATTAGACTAAAATTGAATGGGCTATACAACTGTGTATTCAAAAAAATTCTACCGCTTCTGAGAAAAAAGTTTGAAATTTGGGTGAAAATTTGTTGCACTTTTTTGCGGTCTTTTAAAAAGTTTTAAACTTAAGTTTATGTGACTTTTGTGAGAGAATGAACTGTATTTTAATTGAAAATTCTTAAAAATAAATAAATAAACATGAGTGGCAAACAATATCACTTTGAAATGGGGGTGCTATTGTATTGGCCAATACTGTACATATGTATGTATGCCAATTGATCTTTCTGCTGCTCTGCAGGTACATATATTTATTTTGTCATTAGTGGTCAACTTTCTTTCTTCTTCTGAAAAAGCGTAAAAGATACAATGTGAAGAGAATTAACTCTGCTTACATTATTGATAAATACAAGTAATTTTTAGCAAAAAAAAAAATTATCGAAATCGGTTGACGTGGTCCAAAGTTACATACATAAAAAATAAAAAATAAAAAAAATTAAAATAAAAATAAAAAAAAAAATCGACGAAATGATAACCTCCTCCTTTTTTGGAAGTCGGTTAAAAAATGACAATTAGCTCCGAAAATATTTCCTATAAAAATTGTAATAAGTTGTGTGCTTCTCCTGTAAGGAGGTGTAAATACCTTTTACACTTTTTGAATCTTAATTTATTGTATATGAGAAAATGATGCAAAAAAATGTGAAAGTAGAGTGCTCAGATCTAGTTCCTACATTTGTATATACACATAGATTTTAGTGAGAATTTCCACTCTAAATTGTTTCACATTCGAAATTGATTTATTTTGCAAATATGCGATAATTTTGCAAAGTGGGTTGAAACAAAATTTACGGAAGCACTAATAATAAATAGTAAAAGTATAAACAGAATCAAATCGCTCAGAGAAATTTGTTTGAAGAAAGTTCGCGGCCAAAATCAAAACACACTGCAGTATCTATATGAGATTGCCCACAACCAAAGCGACAGCGAAGTTCGTCTGACGAAATTCGATAAGAAGATATTTATTTTTTAATTTTGCCGCTGCCGCCGATCACAAATGATGTTTGTCATTCAATTGATGTGATTAGCCTTTTTGTTCTGTTTTAGTGGACGAAATGTTGCAGCGAATATCACCCGGCGGCATCGCTCCAACCGACGAAATTCGCACAGCGATTTGGTTCTGTTTATACTTTAAATCTTACTGCAAAACATAAATTCTTCTCACATTCAGTGACATGTAAAATGAGTAAAATTTATGAATTTTTTACAGTAATAAATGTAGCAATATTGTTCTATCCACAGTGCCTACATATTTGAAATGTAAATTTATTTTCATAAATTGATGTTATGTATTATATAATTTTCTTTGAGCTGCAGCAACAAATACTTTAGGAATATGTAGTAGTAAATTAAATTATTTCACTAAAAAAAATATACAATGAATTAAATTAAACTTAGAATAATTGCTGGCGTACTAGGTATTCCAAACGCTGCACCCACCAACGCAAATTGCAATGCCAAAAAAAAATGATGAAAAACAGAGCAAAGTTTTGCTCCGCATCGTTGCGTAGGTGGTTTTTGTAATAACTCTTTCGACATTATAAATAAATTGAGACATAAATATATGTATATGTATCTACTAGTAAATATCGCACAATAACAACTAAAAAATTCGACAAAACAATAGATAGAAATAAAAAAAAAATCGATTTTTGAATCGATTTGAATCGAAGTGAAAATAATCAAAGCTGAAAGAAATCGACAAGAAAAAAATCGATCTCCCAGGATGAAAAATTATTTTTTAAGGCTGGTAGCTTGTTTTTTGATAGAGATGTCATAATGCCAGCAAAAGTCAAATAGCTAGCATGGCGACAAAAATCGTTGAGTGAAACTACCT